ACAATCAAGTTTGTTGGTATTGTACTATTGGCTTGGAATAAAACACTTGATTAGAGACCTGGCAGTTAAACTGACCGCTCAGACCTCCAAAACAGAATTGCTCTTTATAGGAACATTCCCAAGACAGCACATAAGACAAAACAGAACAAGATGATGAGAACCTCAGTTATGCACAAAGGATATGAAACAGCACCACCCTGTGCTAGGTGGTGTTACATATATAATCATTACAAATCTCCCCGCCCTCCTCTCTAAATTAAGCAGATAACTGCATTTTTGTACGGTATATAATCTGCCAACCAGAAAGTTTATTATGTCTGTCTGCTCGCTGCAATTCCATTTTCAAAGGATAAGCATCTTTCACGGATAACTGAGATTGTGTTATCGGGCCATGCTATACCAGTACTGTCTGTTGAGGTTGTGTCATTTTCCAGGGGTATCATTTCAGAGTCATTAGAATTTCCTGGCAGTCCTTCTTCAAAGTCTGGACCCCCTTGAGAAGAAACAGGTTCTAGCTGCAGTATCTCCCCCAACACTTCCTTGGGGTTATCCTCTGGAGAATTTAGCTGACCCATGGCAATCAATTCACTTCCTTCTCTTTCAGTGTATCAGTTCTATATGTTTACAAAGACTCATGAATGGCCTTTCTATAGTAGTGAGGATAAGTTGCTAAGTTTCTTAACCTCTGTATAACCCCCATCCCGCGGAGAAAGGCTTATCCTCTAAACATAGAACTCGTTTGAGCAGATGAACATAAAAACCTTTCTGGGTGGCAAAGAAAGGTTTGGATTCTTTCCTGATAGTTCTTCCAGTTGCAGAGCCGCACTTTCTTGCCTTCCTGGATGGCAACAACATAGGCCCTAGTTCCTGATTCCAGTCTCCTTGCCTTCCTGTGTTGCACCTTGCCTGACTTCCCTGTTAAATTGGTCTTGGAGTGTTTTCTGACCTTTTTCCTGGATCACATTTGGACCTAGGCTGATTCTTTGAGCTTGGCATTAGTTTGTTTGGGCAGTACTGGATCTGCAACTGTATCTTCATTGGTGACTGATTTGGTGGAGGCTAAGATCTCCCGTAGGGACGCGTGTGGTGCTGTGGGTTAAACCACAGAGCCTAGGACTTGCCGATTAGAAGGTCGGCGGTTCAAATCTCCACGACGGGGTGAGCTCCCGTTGATCGGTCCCAGCTCCTGCCAACCTAGCAGTTCTAAAGCACATCAAAGTGCAAGTAGATAAATAGGTACCGCTCCGGCGGGAAGGTAAACAGCATTTCTGTGCACTGCTCTGGTTGGCCAGAAGCGGCTTAGTCATGCTGGCCACATGACCCGGAAGCTGAATGCCAGCTACCTCGGCCAATAAAGTGAGATGAGCGCTGCAACCCCATAGTTGGCCACGACTGGACCTAATGGTCAGGGGTCCCTTTACCTTTACCTTTAAGGTCTCCCATAACTGGAACCTTAGCCACTGAGGGAATCCCCTGGTGCATGAAAGAACAGCTGGTCTAGAAATTAAAATGGAGAAATAAGGGAGATGAAGACCATAAGGAACTCAAACAGTAAGGACAACGATTCTTTTCTTGTATATAGGTTAGCCTCAGAAGAAGGGCATCACATATTGAGAGTGTGAACCACTGTTTTAGCTGGGAAGATAAGGATATTTTGCAGTGCTGTATTGGGAGAAGTGACTCATTCAGCCCTGACTGAAATTAGAGAGGAAAGAGGAGATAAGAATCAATGGCACAGCAAATGCCAAGGCTGTGTGCCTCATCATCATGGTGGCTGCTGAAGCTGTCAACAGGAAGGCGTGGGTGGCAGGACAAGTAATTCAGCCTTGGACATACTGAGTTTGAAATAATAATGAGACCTTCAGGTAGGTGACAGGTAAGTGGAGATGCAGAACTGGGCAGTAGCAAAGAGGCTCTGTGTTAGAGAGATATAGCTGGGTACAATCAGCAGATCCAAACCCTCAGGATAAAGCCAGTAAGCTAGAAAAACAATATTATTACCGTATTTTTCGCTCTATTTTCCCCTCCAAAAATTAAGGGGAAATGTGTGTGCATCCTATGGAGCGAATGCAGGCTCCTTGGCTTCAGCGATAACAACACGAAGCCTCCGAAGCACAGAGGGAACGCTCCCTCCACGCTCCGGAGGCTTCCCGTTGCTTTCGCTGAAGCCTGGAGAGCGAGAGGGGTCGGTGCGCACCAACCCCTCTCGCTCTCCAGGCTTCAGCGAAAGCAATGCGAAGCCTCCGGAGCGCAGCGGGAACTCGCGCTACACTCCGAAGGCTTCTGGTTCCTTTTGCTGAAGCCGGGAGAGCAAGACTCTCCTGGCTCCAGCGAAAGGAACCCGAAGCCTTTGGAGCGCAGCATGAGGTCCCACTGTGCTCCAAAGGCTTCAGCCACGTGCCTGCCTGGAAGCCAGAGGAGGAACAGAAGGGTCTCCTTCTGTTCCTTCTCCAGCTTTGCTTGAAGGGGCGCTGCGCAGTTCTCCCTCTCTGTGCAGCGCCTCTCATTCAGAGGAGAGGCGCTGCACAGAGAGGGAGAACTGCGCAGCACCCCTTCAGCAACACGCCTGCCCTGGCTTCTGCCTTAGCCACACGCAGCCTCTTCAGGCAGGGGGAGCCTTCATCCCACTGCCCTGAAGAGGCTTGGTGCGGTTATCCCAGAAGCCAGAACAGCCACATGGTATCCCAGAAGCCAGATCCCTCTTGCTGTTCTGACTTCTGGGATTCAAAACATTTTTTTTCTTGTCCCCCCCCCCCAACTAGGTGCATCTTATCATCTGGTGCGTCCTATAGAGCGAAAAATACGATAGGTATGGGCCAAGTGGATGAGTTCCTTCCTCTAGGGGTTGAAAACTTGGATTTTTCATGAGAAATGAGTTGTAAAATAAGTGAAGAACACAGGAACAGGAGTTAGGGGTGGTATAGCTTTTTAAGAGTGAAGCGGGTGGCGCTGTGGTCTAAACCACTGAGCCTGTTGGGCTTGCTGATCGGAAGGTTGGTGGTTTGAATCCCTGCAACAGAGTGAGCTCCCATTGCTCTGTCCCAGCTCCTGCCAACCTAGCAGTTCAAAAGCCTCTGGGACCATATAACACCAGTTCTGAGAGATCTGCATTGGCTCCCAGTATGTTTCCGAGCACAATTCAAAGTGTTGGTGTTGACCTTTAAAGCCCTAAACGGCCTCAGTCCTGTATACCTGAAGGAGCGTCTCCACCCCCATCGTTCAACCTGGACACTGAGAACCAGCACCGAGGGCCTTCTGGCGGTTCCCTCATTGCGAGAAGTGAGGTTATAGGGAACCAGGCAGAGGGCCTTCTTGGTAGTGGCGCCCACCCTGTGGAACGCCCTCCCTTCAGATGTGAAGGAAATAAGCAGCTACCTTATCTTTAAAAGACATCTGAAGGAAGCCCTGTTCAGGGAAGTTTTTAATATTTAATGCTGTGTCGTTTTTAACATTTGATTGGGCGACGCCCATAGTGGCTGGGGAAACTCAGCCAGATAGGCGGGGTATAAATAATAAATTATTACTATATTATTATTATATAAATAGGTATGGCTGTGGCAGGAAGGTAAGCAGGGTTTCCGTGCGCTGTGGTTTCTGTCACGGTGTTCCATTGCACCAGAAGTGGTTTAGTCAGGCTGGCCACATGACCTGGAAAGCTGTCTGTGGACAAACGCCGGCTCCCTCAGCCTGAAAGCGAGATAAGCGCCGCAAGCTCATAGTCGCCTTTGACTGGACTTAACCATCCAGGGGTCCTTTACCTTTTTAAGAGGGATTATATAATATCCCTTTATCACACACATTTTATCACACTGTATATTTCAATGCAATGGAAGCAGTAATGTGTGGTGTTAGTTTTTCCCCATCTCTGTGCTTTTGTGGAAGCTTTATATCTTATACCCCAGGATTGTGTTAAGAGAACAACAGGTTTGAATTTACAGCTACCTCTGCTGACCCAGTGTTTCAGTGTAGCAAGATGTAGTATGTGACAGGGGAGTTCTTAAATAGATCCCAGAACATAGCAGGACTGTTTGGGTAGCAAAGTCCATTATTTATTATTATTTTATTATTTATTAAATTTCCATGCCACCCTCCACAACGTAGTAACAAACAAAAACCATACCCTTCACCCCATTTAAAAAGGCCATAGCCTAGGAGAAGAATGTCTTTGCCTGATGCCCGAAGATATCTAACGAATGTGCCAGGCGAGACTCCCTGGAGACAGCACTCCACAAGATGGGAGCTACTGCAGAAAAGGCCCTTTGTGTTGCTTCCTTCTGGGCCTTTCACGGAGGAGGAACACGAAGAAGAGCCTCAGATGATGATCACAGGGTCTGGGTCAGTTTGTTATAGGATACTGGAGGAGTGTCAAACATAATGTCCTGCGGTGCTATCATACCCTCAGGTTCCCTATAATTTCCCATGGAACCCCCATATCACTCATGGCAATTTGAAAACTGCTGAGGCCAATGGTTTTCTTAAGTCAGATGTGTTGGCATATGGGAATGTAACACAGGTATTTGCTGAGGATGGGTTTTGGCACTCTGGTCCATTTGAGATTTCCCTAGAGTCTTATTGTAGCTAGCATGAACTTTCATATACAACAACCTACTTTGTCAGGTGTAAGGTTCAAGCATCTGTTGAAAATATAAAATGTTTCTGAAATGGCAATACCCATACCCAAATTCAAAGTATAATTGGTTATAAGAGAAACTTGAAAATTATTATGAAGCTTCTTTTCAATTGACATGTTTTCATGTGGTGAGAATCATTCTTTTCTATGTCTAGCACTGAAACAATGTTATTCAGTTCTTCAACAGGGGAAGAAGATAATCCACAAGTCGTAATATATTTAACTGGCTTATTTTTAAAAGAAAAGAATGCAACATATTTCTCCACAGATGGAGTGAGAAATTATTTCAAATTAGTATAGCATCCTTTTACTCGGAGAAGACAGTTATACATTAATTCACACCTTACATACAAAATAAACAAGACTTTGGTTGTCATGCAAAATTCTATATTTGGTTTCTAAGAGAAATAATGAAACATATTTGTCAGTTTCACTCAATGTGTGATGAAGTAAAGAGGAAACAGAACAGCAGGGAATATATCATAGTAGGTAAGCTCAAAGCTTCCTTTTTTTCAATCAGAAAAGTTAAGATCTTATACATGCAAATAATGCAAAAAATGCAAATAAAATAAAATCATTCGTTGTCATCGGTGGTCCATTCATGAAGGTCTTAAGATTTATGATAGTAGCAAGTACTGCAGTGACAATCGGTGTGATTCTCTATCTTTGTGTGTTCATGATTTGGAATGGGAGCCTGGATAAAAGAAAAGAAAAGAAAAGAAAAAATAGAATTATACTTTCATTCATTGCAAAAATCAGATCCTTTTTGCAAAGAACACCTTAAAGCTTTATTTTCTCACTTAAAATAAAAGCTATGTGTTTATTATGCAATTTCTTCTTCTATATTGTGATTTGTTGTAGTGAAGTTTATGGTACTGTTTTAATTGTACACCATTTTGATACTTTCTCTCTCTAGATATATACATATATGAATAAATGTAAATAAAGAAACACTGAGAATTATTATCTAGACTCACTCTGCTATCATTTTCATTGGCAGTTATAAGTAGATAGAATCCTAAGGAACACCCCGCCCCCAAATGCAATTAGTTCCATATGCTCAAAAAAGATTTTTCACTAGCATTTCTTGAACAGCAGCTGCTCATCTACAGGGCAAATACGTTGTAATGTAGGTGCAACACATCACTAACTTAACCTTTGCAGAAATGAAGTTGAGGGTACATTCAAAAGCCAGCTACAAGATAGTGTGAGGAATTTTCCTGTTCACCCACCCTTAATCTGGTTTGAATGTTGTGATACATATATTGCTATATAAGGGTTGGAGCCATCTGGATTTATAAGAGACCTTAAGTAAGTCAGAGAGCAGGCTGTGGACTTAGAAGAATGGAGTTGCAGCTTTCAGGCACCATCTTCAAGCATGCCTGAGGATTCCAATATTACTCCAGGGTGGAAGGGTAACAAACACATATTGCATAGGTAGGTGTTTAGTAGCCTCATTACCTGTTTGAAGGCTCTTGCCACACAGCATGTTGCTTCTGATGTGATGTTCTTTGGGACCGGCATTGTCTTCTTAGATCTCATGGGAGTGGGATAAGCCCTTGAGAAACAGCATCCTGCACACTGATAAATAGGTCGCCCATTGAACAGCTCCGTCATGCGTGCGTTCAAGATCAGTTTACATTCAGGGCAGCCTTTCAGATACACAGAAAAGAATATATTTAGATATTAGTGCTGTTCTTGGTTCTACTTGTACTTCACATTGCAACATACAACGGGCTGGGCTGCATTCCAATCTTGAGCTGAACTGGTAGGATGGGCTTCTCATTGTGCGCCATCAATTCATGAATGGCTAAATTCACATCTAACTTTGAAGACAAAATGGTCTACAGCAGTACATGGGAGCCTTCCAGATATTGATTGGACCACAAAATTCCCATAATCTCTTACCATCGGCCATGGTGGATGGGGCTGATGGGAACTGGATCCCAACAAGTCCTCCAGGCCCTAGTCTACAGGAAATAAGATAAACTTTCTGATCTGATCTTGGCCCTCTTTCTATCAAATGTTTTGGAACTAGCTAAGGCTTGCTTAAACTGGTCACCTCCTCAAGATCCAAAGGAACCCCCTCCCTCCCCACTTCTTTCCTTAAAAAAAAAAAATCAGTATGGTGCCATTAGCAAATGACTATATGGGCCAAAATGTAGCTAAGGCAAAAACTGTGAAATATTCACTGGGAGCTACTAACAAGGTGCTCTGAAGTGGGGCTTTCAAGACAGAACATGCCATTTCACTCCTTGAACATGCAGCACATTTTCAGAAAAAGAAATGCCAGTTGAAAGAATTTGTCACATACAGGGCACCAAAAACACTAAGGTATTCAAAATCACAAGTCAAGCGGGTAATTAAATGCATGTTTATGAATTTGGCAGAAAATAGAGGTCATCTGTTAATCAGATTATTAACAAGTAACGTAGTAAATCATCTTTTGATGTTAGGGAAGCTTAAACAGCTGCAGCTCTTCATTTCCCACATTTGGAGATGCTGACAGATAATACTGCTTTAAAAAACAACTCAATCAAAAATATTATGTGGAAAGCCCCCAATCAAAAAAGCACTGTTAGTGTTAAAGTAAATTAGTTAATGCCATATCCATTCATTTTTCATCTTTTTAAAAATTTAATTTGCATTAATTGCAATGCATATTGTTATTTTTTTGTGGAAAATATTAATAAAATTTATTTTTTAAAAAAGAAAGAAAAAATATAGAAAAGAAAGCATACACATGTACTAGCAGAAAGCTTTCATTAGTTTTTTAAAAAATGATTTCTTATGATTATGGGGAGAAATATAAAGCCTTTCTTGTCAATGAGATTAAAAGTGCTACCTATCCAATAATCTGCAGTATGAAATGGTTAACATTTACTTTCAGGGGTGTAATGTACAAAGTGCTATTCAGTCAGAAGATTCTAGAAGTGGCACACAGCCCTATCTTTTGCACATTTACTCAGTATAGGTAAGTATACTGAGTAAGTACAGTGGTACCTCGGGTTAAGAACTTAATTGGTTCTGGAGGTCCGTTCTTAACCTGAAACTGTTCTTAACCTGAGGTACCACTTTCACTAATGGGGCCTCCCACTGCTGCCACCGCACAATTTCTGTTCTCATCCTGAGGTAAAGTTCTTAACCTGAGGTCCTATTTCTGGGTTAGCGGAGTCTGTAACCTGAAGCGTCTGTAACCCAAGGTACCACTGTATAGGTAAGTATATGTAAGTATTCCTCTTTGTAAAGCTTTAAATGCAATGATGCAATCCAGCAAGCTGCTAAATAGTTTTAACAAGAGAGAGAGAAAAGATTTTGCAACTTCTGTTAAAGTGCGGCGAAGAGGACCACTTCCATTACACTTCTCTTTTCTTTCTTATTTCACAATTTCCCATGCCAGGAAATGTCATTTCTGTTCATGGTGCACAGATGATGGGAGCTTAACTGGTAAGTTTTATTTATCCAAATTACTGTCTGCTTAGAAAATAATAATCCAATATTTAATGTATCTCACCTGGAGCAATGAACTCTCGCTCCGGCACTGAATGTAGAATACTCAGTGACACAGACAATATGGCAAAAGCAACAGCTGCATACTTCCCAAAGAACACCATGGCCCTCCTACAAAAGAGAGAAAAACAAAGGATTTCCCTTCTAGTCGTAAGCATGTTTATTTGGAAATAAATCCAGTTGATTCCAGTTGAAAGTAGCTTAGGAACACAGTTTTCATCGTATTCTTAAATTCTACCCATGGAGAAGGCGCAGAGCTGTAGGACTGTTGGTGGTGCTGCAGCCTCAAGAGACTACAGTAGTGACTTATTTGGATTCTGGTCTCTGAATGTAATATGGGATAAAAGTGTGGTTAGCATCTTGAATTTACCATGCAGTTTTAACATACATGCTAAGTGAGTACAGATGCATAAACAATGCTGTCACTTGGGTCAAAAGTTTGGGGTCTTTGTAGAATAAGGATAAGATGCCTTTCAGATGTTGTTGGATCTCAGCTCAAATCGGTCCCAGTCAGCTTGTTGAATGTTCGGGGAGTTACAGACCAACTGCGTCTGAAACTAAGTAGAACACCTATGAGTTCAGAAGTGGCTAATGTTTTGTGAGCTAGCCACTCCTGAACTAGAGGGTGTTTTACTAAGGCACTCCACATGGCTTGACTTACATGTTAGCCAAAACATCCTATTGGCTCAGATAGACTAAATGTTTTATAGGACTGATGTTGTTGCATAAGTTATCTGAGCGGTTTCCAGTGACATATGAGAGCTATGTTCACAAGTGGTGGTTGTTGTTTTTTTAAAAAATATTGTACACATCATGGTTGTGGACCAAGAGCCAAACAGCTATCTCACACCATAGACAGATGCAGCACAGAGAGTACATATGCCTCTCACTTCTTATGAGGAATACCTTGTGTAAACTTGACATATAGGCACGTGCCCAGTATTTCAGAAACACATGAAGTGATGCTAATCAATAGTTAAATTTAACATTTCCCCCTGTCCATGGGAATACTTTGGTGTAAGCCTCTAGACTGAGTAAAATATCTAAAAATATGGTATCACTTTCCAGTAGATCAGGAACAAGCTACAATCTAGCATCCTGCTCATGAATGCTCCCTGCAAAATCTACCAAAATATTTAGCTAGGATCCAAAAACCCACAAAAGCCCGACTGGGAAAATGCTCAGCACACACACATGCCACAAAAAAGGCATGGGAGCCAGATCTTCAGAGAAAAAAGTGTCAACAATTATCACTAGGTACAACTAGACATAAAATTTTCCATGCCTCTTTATGAGAATCACACTTCCTAACTGTAAAAGCACTATGCTGGAGCTGGCCCTAAGCAGCTTATAAGAGAGTATTTTTATTCGTATTTATTCGAAACAGAAAACAAATAACAGAAAAACTATATTCCAGAAATAACAATGCAACACAAAAAATGCAATCAGATAAGAAGACAGTGCTGTTTAGGCCATGTACACAAAAAAATGTGGAAGATAAAGGCAACTGACAAGCAAATCATTCAAAGGAATTAAATTAATAAAATATTAGCAATATATTATATTATCAAACACAATTTGTTATTTTTATATTTTTGTTATAAAGTAATAATGCTGATGAGTCTGTTATATTTATGTGATGATTTCTAGTAAATTGGCATTTAAAAGGAGAGGACTTCCTTAGGCTGCAGTCCTAAGAACACTTAACATAGAGTAAGACGCACTGAACACAATGGGTTTTCTGACTAGACTTGTGCAGGGTTGCACTGCAAGCCTTTGCAGAAATAATCCAGGAAAAAAATGTATTAAGGTAATAGCCATTTTTCTCCCTTAATTTTATAAATGTAGTATAGGGATGGAGGACAATTTTATTAAGTTTACATTTAAAGCTGAATTTACCAGATTCACACTTTTTGAAACAATATGAGAACTAAAACATAGCCATCCTTTGAAATCCGTACGTACTTAAAATTTTCAAGGCAGTTTTCCCAACAAACCAATGTTTACCAAAAATGCATATTTTAGGTAGAAGGGTGCATAAAAATAAATATATTAGTGGAAATAATATACAAAAATACATATACCAATAGAAATGTGTGCATTAGTCAAAATGACATAAAAATTGTTTATCAGGAAAAAGTCACACTAAAGTGCTTAAGAATTCTAATGTGGATTTTTTTAAAAGAAAAATTGCTGCAGGAATATGGAGAATCCAATTTAAGATTGTGAAAAATGAGAAATTAGCAGATCCTTCCACTGCTAATGCAGTATCAGACATCTAAACGGGATAATTTTGAGAAAGTATATGTATTACTCTCTTAGCTAAATACTCACTAGTCGAGCCATTTCCAACACGATATGTAAGTAACACAGGCTGGTGTTGTTTTTACCCTGTCACATAGTTGCAACCAATGCCCAACCTGTTTGATGCGTAAGTTTGTTGCAATCACACTTTACAAGTTTAGATGTAAAATATAATGTGTGAAGTAGCCCAAGGGGATTGTTACTTATTAGCCACTATCCATCCAAAGTTGCTTTTTCTGATCTCTTTCCCTGATCCAGAGAACTATGACTTGTATCAAAAGAACTTCAGGTACAACAGAGCTTTCTCACTCCGTTCCCATTGCAGCCTTTTGCCCCTCACCAAAAAACAAATGAACAGAAACCCCGCTCCTGAAAACCAGGGGACTCACCAGACAAAGAAAGCATGAGAAGACTGCATGGCCACTGATGTACTCAGGGTTGTGTGGCATAAGCTGCGCAAGAGAATCAAAATGAAAAGCTTCATGTGGCTCCACTTGCATTATGCCTATCCCTGGAGAGAGTTCTCCCTAACAACAACACTTTCAAAACAGTAACATGTTATACCCCTGCAACAGCAAACACAACATTTGGTGTTTTGGGGTTTTTTTAAAGCAAGAATTTTCAGCTTCAGGTTTTTATCTAAACCATGCTCCCATTTCAGAGACTGAGATACATTGCACACAAAGAGCTGGTCACCATTTGGCTGACACGTTTTTGTGTCTGCATCAAATGATCCCAACGCATCTCGCAAAACAACCCTTATCCATGTTACTCACAAGTAAGCACTACTGAGTTCTGTGGAGTTTACCCCCAAGTAAGTGGATATAGGATTGCAGCCTCAGTCTGTGAAGAGAATCACAGTACTTGGTCTTTTTACAAAGAGTCTGCTTTAAAGAAAAGAGATTATATTAGATTTCATATTAATAAACATATCTAAACCATTTTAACAAATAACATTACCCTTCTTCTTTTCCAGCTGAGGACAGTTGATTAAGGGTCTGAAAAAAATAGGGTTAGGAAACTTAGCAGCAGCTTGTCTTTCGACACTGAGACGGAATATACCCTGTGTTTTTCTTTTATACTAGGAAATTCAGTCATATCTCCCACCTAGATCTAAGCCAATGGATCAACTGTGATGTCTCCTCATTGGCCAACTATTGCTTGATGTAATTACTATTCCGCCATACTGATGTTATCTCGTCCTTGACTCTTAAAGAGATCACTTCCTGCATTGTAATATTAAAGAAAGGTCAGATGGTGGGCACAAAAATCAACAATGTTTACCATTTAGTTTTCTCTTGCATTGTCAACCACAGTTTACTGCCATTTTCAGTAATTGCAGCCATTAAAAAAAGAACAACAAAGACAACAGTGACTTCACCAGATTTCCTACCAGCTTCTAAAATGGCACAGGGGGAGAATGTTCATTCCCTGTACAGTGGTACCTCGGGTTACATACGCTTCAGGTTACAGATGCTTTAGGTTACAGACTCTGCTAACCCAGAAATAGTACCTCGGGTTAAGAACTTTGCTTCAGAATGAGAACAGAAATCGTGCTCCGGCAGTGCGGCAGCAACGGGAGGCCCCATTAGCTAAAGTGGTCTTCAGGTTAAGAACAGTTTCAGGTTAAGTGGTTGTTTTTTATTTTTGTTATTTTTGGAAAAATCAATAAAATGTTATTAAAAAAAGAAAAAGAAAACTAGAAAATAACAAAATACAGTGGACACTTGGGTTGCAAACGTGATCTATGCGCGATGGCACATTTGCAACTCGCAGCGTTCGCAACCCACGTCTGTGCATGCGCGGGTTGCGATTTGGCACTTCTGCACATGCGCAAAGCGTGATTTAGCACTTCTGCGCATACGCAACTGCCGAAACCCGGAAGTAACCCATTCCGGTACTTCCTGGTTTTGGCGGTCTGCAACCCGAAAAAACGCAACCGGAAGCGGCTATAACCCGAGGTATCACTGTAGGAGGGAATAGCTCAGTTGGTTAGAGCACGGTGCTGATAACCTAGCCCAGGCTGTGATTCGATCTCCATGTGAGCCACTTGCATATTTCTGCATTGCAGTGGTTTGGACTAGCTGACTCTCAGGGTCCCTCTCAACTCTACAATTGTATGATTTTATGATGCTAAAATGATGAAAAATAATGCAGTTTCAAACCATCCTTTTTGCACTCACCCTGTTTGATTCATATTGCAACATTTTCATTTCATATTCATTTCATTCATGGAATGGCTGGTGGTCCAGAGGTTGTCTCTGACAGAAGGGAAGGGGAAGCAATTATCACCAATTCCTCCTTCCCCCTACAGCATCCTCCATCACCTCTCACATTGTTGCAGAGTCATTCAAATGGAGCTGCAGGAGGGAACTGCCTTTCCTCACTTCTGTGGATGGGAGATTATATGAGTGGAAAGCTACACACAGGGTTCAAGCCACTATTTCTTTGAAAGCATTATTCAAGTACGGTAAATTATTCAGACCTATTTATATTTAGTACATAGTTCTACCCATGTGCACGCGAGTCCCACAGATTTTTGTGTCAGGCTGTGTCATGTCTCTAGCCTCAATCTCCCCATCTCCATCTCAGAAGGGGAAGAGGTATTGCCCAGGGATCCTTCATCCCACACTCCAGAACCTTCCAAACCTGAGGGCTTGACTTTACCTGACACCTCAGACACAGAAGACCCACACACGGAGACCTCACCATAGTTTCCAGTGGTTGCAGGTTCAGGCAATTGGCCTTTAGGAAACACAGTTTTTTCTGAATGGGTGAGGTTAACAGCAGGTGAAAATCATGGCATCTTGAAAAGGTCACAGCAGGCTGCAGAAACAATAGCTCTCTTTGGGTGAGTTCCAACTAATGTTTGCCTTTGTGATCTGTCCAGGGTCCTGGCAAAAGATACTGCCTTGCCTTTTGTGATCCACCATAGCTTACCATAATTCCATTTGCTCTTCTAGTAATTGCCACTTCTTCAAACCAGCCCCCCCCCCTTGGGGCCTTGAGGCCACAACAGGTTGCAACGTAAGGCAACTTTTAAAAAAATAAAGTGCCAGGTAGCATGATAGCACTATTGTAGGGAAGCATATTTTCTGTAGGTTACAATAGACCTGTATTTGAAGATAATTTCACACCATATGGAATTCTTATACAAAATGTGCATTATATTAAAGACAGATGTTTGTGTTAAAATAAATTTTAGTAAGTATTAGAATAATTGAGTGAAGCATTAAGCACTTTTATATTCCATTTATTTCAGTGAGAGTTAAATGCATGCTCAATTTTCCATCTTTAAAAATCAAATCAAAGTGCTAAACTTTGCGTGAAGTGCACCTAATGGTTATACTCGCAACATTATGTTACTCCCTTTGCTAGAATAACTTAATTTTAGAATCACTTATTATTTTCCCCATTTTATTCTAAAAATCCACTTGTGAAATGTTATTATGCATCTAGCTTTTCATTTGCACTCCAAGTAATTTTGTTTTTCCCTGTTCAATGTATGTAATACCCCATTCAAATCAATATTCTCGTAACAACAACTATACCTGTAGTTTGCAATCAGTGATGGAACAGCAGGGGAGTTCAATTCCCTCTCAAGGCTTCCAGCTACCAATATTAATTAGGTGGAAAATACAAGGAAATATATCTGTGAACAAACAATGCAGCAGTAAAAATGCCAGGGCAGAGACCATTTTTATGTACCTTGTATAGTTTTATGTTTTTACTGGTGAAAGAAGATCTACTCAATAAAGGCCAAATAAAAGACATATGTGGATAAAGAAATAATATTACAAGGCAGAGTCTACCTCTATTTACTTTACAGCTTCTGAGAAATGGAACAACTAATAGGGCCTCCTCTGCCCCCTGAGGGGGTCTGTAGGGCTTTAAACGCTAATGTGAGCATCTGGATCTAAGCCTGGAAATGAACTGGCAACCAATGCAGCAGTTTTAAAACAAGGGTTATGTGAGATCTAATTGGAAGCCCAGCCACTAATCTGCTTGCTGCATTTTGAACCACTTGACATTTCCAAGTCATCCTAAGTATGTAAGTTACCAGAGAATGTATTACAGTGGCCAGGTTATTTATGTCCAAAAGGGGTTGTTTCTGGTGAACCAGAAAGATACTTCTGCTCCAGAAGGCTACTGTGGTCAACAGTATCAAAAGCCACCAACAGATTGAGAATGAACAGCGTTGCACTCTCCCCATCTCTCTCCTGATAAATATCATCACTCAGGGTGACCAAGGAAATTTGAGTGTCATGACAAGGCCTGAAGGCAGAGGAGAACAGATCCAAGTAATTAGTTTCCTTCCTGAAGCTGGACCACCATCACCTTCTCAAGCACCTTGCCTCAAAAGGGGATATTTGCCACCAGACAATAGTTATTTTAACAATTCTGGATCCAGGGAGGTCTTCTTACCAAGGAGACACACCACTGCCTCCTTCAAGGCAGGTGGCACCTTCTTCATTAAAACATTAATCACTTTCTGGACCCCCCCCCCCACCAGACAACCCCCTGAAGAAGCCAGAATGCCAAGGGTCAAGGTGGCAGGTGGATGGCCACATGTCTTCAAGCAGGTTTTCCCATCCTCAGGCTGCAATAGACAACTTTGTTAGACTTGATTTGAATGCGATCCAGCTGTCAAAATCTGAGTGATTTTCTCCCTAAAGTGCCTTGCAAAGTTGTTACACAAAGCCAGCAAGGGTGTCAGAGCCTTTTCATTTCTATCTCTTTGGTATTTCTGTTTAGAGAAACCAGTACGCCCATTTTGTGGGAACGAAGGCCTGTTAGCAGGATCTATTAGCAGGATGACCAAAATAGATCTCATACAGGCCAGCAGATTCAACCCCTGCCACTGCACCGCCATCAGCCCCATTGTGGTGCTTCCAGCCCCATTGTGGCTTTGTCTGTGCCACAGTACCCTTGTCCTCACAACCATCCCTCACCAAACTGCTACTGCATCGTGGCAGTTGCAGTGGCGGGACTGGCAGCAGTACAGGTGTGACGGTGGGGCCAGGGAGGGGCCCCGGTTCTGCAGGATGGTGAATGGTGTTGCAGGGGCGACAAAATGTCCTGCGCCACCCCCAAATATAGGATTCATAATTACAACTCCCAACTCTTTCCCCACCTAAAAGCAGCTGTGGGGAAGGAAGTTTAAAAAATCCTCTCCCTCATACCATTTTCTAAATCTAAATTAGCCCTGAATATGCTAAAATAAAAAGCTAAATACCTCACCCCTACACGTGCTGCTTCAAAATTCAACGTACCTATAGAAAGCAAAGGTCATATTTGCAAAGGTGAATGTTTTTAGCACCCACCTTTGCAAGTTTAAAATTGTTCTCAATGCTGTTTTTATACTGTATCTTGCTCTGGGACCTTAGGCATAGCAGCCAGCTCCTAGGGGCTGAGGTTCCTTCGCCCCCACCCCAATACAATATTTGAAAGGGCCAGATCCCCACCCCCGAAGTTGATGACCATTGCCATTCAAATAGTGTGTGGGCTGCATCACTGGCCCTCCTGCCTTAGGGTGGAGGGCGGGAAGTAAATAAATAAATAAATTCGACGGATGTTTGTTTTTATTTTTTCTTAAAAGGATAGTTTGTATTTAAAATAATTTCCCCAAAGCTTAAACAGCTGCCGTGTCGAACAGTTTCGGAAGTTGCGGACTAGCAATAAATGCGCATCGGTTTTTGGATTCCTAGCTGCGTAACACCTGGCCTCCCTCGCAGACGGAGGAGCGACAAACTTTGCAGCCAGGTGCGCGTGTCCAGGGAGAGAAAAGAGGGGCAAACGGAAGCGGGCGAGAAGCGCGGCGCCTGCCCGTTGAAGTCTGCGGTGGCGGCGCCGCCTCTTCCTGTGCAAGGGAGCGAAGCCGCTCCAAACCAGGCAGACCGCGAGCGAAACTGAAACACTTCTTCGGTTGACGTCCTGCCTCCTTGCCGTCTCCCCCCCCCCCCGCAAAAAAAAAAGTCCGCGAGGCTATTTGTGCCGACGCACGTGACAGGACTAGCCCACGTTTCCCAGCCCCTCTGCGAATGCTGGGGGGGGGGGACGGGTAAAGAGCGGGCGAACTGCCTGTTCGAACTCTCCTCCCCTTCGATCCCGCACGTGATTCCCCCTCCCCGGAACGTGGTATTGTGTAATCACGTGACCTCCCTTTACGGGGCTCGCGCCTGCGCGCGCGCGCGCGGGGAGAGTTGAGGGGGGGGTAGGTGGGCCGTTGAGGGAGGGCTCGCGAGTGCGGTGGCGGTTGGTTGGTAGTGGTAGGGTGGGGGGAGGGGGGCTGCGTACGCGACGGAGCGGGGTGCGAAGATGGCGGACGAGGAGGCCGAGCAGGACAGCGGCAGCCACGGCCCTGGCGGCGAGAGCGGCCTCCTCCCTCTGGATATGCGGCGCTTGAAGGGGCGGCTGCTGGAGCTGGAGACGGGGCTGCGGGAGAGCCGGGAGCCCGCCGTGGAGGCGGCCGCCGAGTACTGTCAGCAGCTCTGCCAGGTCAGGACGGGGCCGGGGCGAGCAGGCGGGAGGGTCCTCTCTCTCCTTGCCTCCTCCTCCTCCTCCTCCTCCAGCGGGAGCAGGAAGGAACTGGGCCGCGCTGCTGCTGCTGCTGCTGCTCTCCTCCTTGAAACTGGCTCTGAGGGAGGGAGCGGGCGGGCAGAAGTGGCCCGCCCCCCTCGCCGGGAGGGGAGTTCATCGCGGGCCCGGAATCCCCTCCCCCACAACCTGTCTTCCCGGCAGCTCCCCACCCCCCACGCGGCTCCCTCTTCGACTCGGCCCCTTTGTTTTGCTGCTGCTGCCTGCCGCCGCCGCCGCCGCCTCGGGTCTGGAGGGGCCTTTGTCTGCTGATGGCGGCGGCGGAGAGCCCGTGCCCCTGGCCCAGCAATAAGCCGGAGCGTGAAGGAGGGGAGGGGAAGGGTGGCTTCTTCCAGCGGGAGGAAGCGAGGGAAGGGGCTGGCTATGGGGGCTCCCTCACCCGCTCGGTTGTATCTCGAGGACTCATGCTCCAGGTGCCAGAGAAGGAAGTCCTGCCCCGGTTCCCCCCTATGCCACAAATATTTCAATATAACCACCAGCTTGCCCATGGGAGCTAGCGCGCATCTGCTCCACAGTAGCGCACCGGGAGGCTTAGTCGTAAGGCTCCCTTCATATGTTACCCCCATAGACGAGCATAGGAAGAGTCAGTCCAGTGATCAGGGTTTCCGGAGTATCTTTAAGCCAGTGTTGTTGTGGTTGAACGATCTTTCCAACTGCCCTTGGATTTTGTCAATTAAATCAGGTTACTCTAAACGAACATGGTATTTGTAGTGTTTGCTCAGGATGCACACTATTGCTCTTTCCACAAATGTCTTGCCCATCAAATGTCTGTTTCCGCCAATTTGTCGATTGGGAAACTGTCATTTCAGAAATCCACTTAGTTCAAAACTTACATATTTGAATGGAAGACATGAACTGCTTTAAACAATCATGCTTGAAACAGATACTTTTTGATACAATCACAGAAAAATAACATATTGGCCTGGTTCTCGTGTCACTTAAAGTATCATTCACCTAAGTGGCATGCTGTTGAAATGTCTTACTCCGGATGCTAAGCCATAGTTTGGTCTTAATGTTATGTCTGAACCCGAACTCATGATTGGTTTCTTTCTAAACTACGAGTAGTAAACCAAGGTTTGTGTTTTGTTTACCACTCGTGTGTATGGCTGACTTGGTATAAGACAGCTTTCTATTTCTGTGCATGTTTGCTCAAAAGAAAATCCCGCTGTGTTGGGTGGAATTTAATTAATTGTTATTAAGTTTCTTTTTCTAGGTCAGAATGTTTTTTTTAAAATTTAGGCCTATAATAATGGATCACATTCAGTTTTTGTCCCTCTGTATACATAGTCAATAGGGAGTCAGCCTTAGGATTTACTCCTCACCTCTGTCAAACCATTTACAACCATCCCATCATTTCCCATGGTTTTGTGTTGCAAGTTCACAGGTGCAAGCAGTGGTCAACAAATGAAGATCCTTTGTCAACCAAAGGATGAAGGATCCTCGTTTTTTGTTAACCATAGTTTGCATCAGTGCCATTTAACAATAACAATGAAAAAAGTCCCAGTATTCCTACAGGCTGGTCCTCTCTCGCTTGTCTAGGATAAAAATTTCTGTAGAACAACTGTCATAGACTAAATTCCCATCTTCTTTGACGTTATGCATTATACTTGAGCTAGAAAGAATAAGATGTCCCTTTTTGCCTATTGAGAACTCCTGAAAGTAGGAGTGAATAAAATCAACAGTGTAGTTGAGCTCTTGTACATCAGCTCAGTGTCTCTTGATCATATATCTTAATTGAGATTTGAAATTGTGCATTTTTGAGAGAAAGGGAGTCATGCTTGACACTCTTTTGGAGCATGCCTCAAGCCATGGAAGGCTTCAGTTTATGTATTTCTAAAATGTATCAGGCCTTGTTCATGTGAACTAGCTATGGCATTTAACTTTATCAGTTGCCTTTTGGGGGAAAAACACCTTTGTTCAAGTTGATGTAATAAAATAGATAATCCTGATTTTATGAGATGAAATTATAATTATTTCCATTTTACCTGTTCTTATTCCATTCTTCCACCTTTTCACTTACACACAATCTAGCTCTTAATTATAAGTTTGTGTGTGTGTGTGTGTACACACACACACACACCTTATTTGTTGTGTATATGTATATCTTAATATTTACTATGATTTATTCACTATTACGGATATTGATGTTTATGTGATTAATAATAATAAAAATCAGATTATGTAAACAAGATGGGTGGATGGGAGCGTGCCTTGCTGGATCCAAGGAACAGCCGGGAACATTGGCTCCTGATGGTTCCTTTGGAGTCCCATCTTTACCCACACCATATCTGATGTCATGCATGGTATCAGGTGTGGGATGTTTGGGTATGACTTCCTAAAAATGGCCTGGTGGGCCATGTTTGGTACATGGGTCTGAGCTTCCCCACCACTGTACTATCAGTGACAAGAGTGAGAATTCCTGACTCCCTAGCTGTGTATGCCCCTTTCTGTGATAAGGCGTGTTCAAACTGGCTCACAGCAATGCCAGAATAGGGTATAATAGTAGGAAAATCTATAGCATTTCAATTGATAGTCTCCCCCCCCCCTTTTCTAATACTTAATTTATCCTTCAATTTTAAAAGAAATTTTGTGATGGGTGTTTATGAAAGATGTTACATCTAGCTAAAAGGCAGTCGTATCTTATAGCTATGCCTCTGTTGCAATCAAAGAAATTTGGGAGAGTCGAGTACTTCTTAGCTTTATAGAAGCTTGGATAAAGAATGGTATACCGTGTAAAATTAAAGGGGGCTTTCCTTTTACCTGCCTTTGTATTCTCTCAAGTCCTTGCATCTTCATTGTAGTGGCAGGCCAGACACAGGCCTGCCTAGTTAGAAGGGAACTCATCAAAACTCTCCACCACAGTGTGATGGTGCTTTAACAAGTGAAAATGATTTCCAGGGCTGAACTCACCTGGTGTCTTTCATGTATTAATGTAATTATTTAATTATATTTTTATTTCGCTTTTCAGACAAATATTGTATCCCAAAATGGCTTACATCAATCAAATGTTAGATACTGGCCCTGCCCTCAGACTTACAAACTAGAAAGACAAGACGTACAAGGGAAGGGGACTGGAGGGAAAAGGTAAAGGAGGGAGATCAATTTAACAATGCCAAAATAAATTGATTAGTTGTAATCAGGCATTTGTATCCAGTTGAGGTTAGGTGATCTTTCCTTACTGGTGTTTTTGAACAGATAGGCATGGTGTGGCAACCTGGCGATCCTTAGTTCTGACATTAGCAGAAGCCAGGTTGTCCTTCTCACAGTCTCAGGAAAATTCTTTGGGTGCAAAAGTCCATAGTGACTCTGAATTTGCATTTGGCAGTACTGCTTTGGAACAATTGGCCTAGCTCTCATAAAGAAAGGGAATAGAGAGAGGGCCAGATTTGTCCTCCTTCACAGGTGTTTGATACCCCCTCCCTTAGTGATCCTGCTCAGATGTATTAGTAATGTAAAATGAAATTTATTATGTATAAATTATTGCATGTTAATAGATAATACATGCTTTCTGCCACGCTTCAGATTCTTTGAAGAAAAGGTCCAATACGATGTTCATGTATTATTCTCTATGTAGAAATATTCTCCTTTGGGTTTTTCCCAATTGAAGCCTGTTTCATGGCATCAATCTATAATGTTCATAAGGGTTACTTCCCATTTGGTAACTCTGGTTTTTTAGAATTAAATGATTCTTCACACTAGTTGACAAAATATTCTAATATCCCCCAGAATTCATTCAAAGTTCAGTTGACAGCATGTAGTTCTTTGTGATGGACCATATTAGTTTTGGGCAACAAAACAAAAAGGTCATGGAAATATAATAATTAAGAATTTCATTTTAGTGTGCCTCACTGGCAAAGCGTTCATTGTTATCTGTGCTAGGAGAATTCTTTGTGATTTATATTTGTGTCTCTTGAATTACAGTGGTGCCTCGCAAGACGAAATTAATTCGTTCCGCGAGTTTTGTCGTCTTGCGATTTTTTTCGTCTTGCGAAGCACGGTGTCGGAAAAGTTTCGGAAAAGCTTCAAAAATCACCAAAGTCTTCAAAAACCTAAAAAAAGGCTACCACACCGCGTGCTATGAGTTGCTCCTCGAAGTCAAGTCGCAACTGTATTAACGGTGTTAAGAAAAAGGAAACAAAATTTGCAAGACGTTTCCGTCTTGCAAAGCAAGCCCATAGGGAAATCGTCTTGCGAAGCAGCTCAAAAAACAAAAAACCCTTTCGTCTTGCGGGTTTTTTGTCTTGCGAGGCATTCGTCTTGCGAGGTACCACTGTATTCCTATCCTCCTGCTACTCTAGTGGATTAGGAGACAAAAATCATTATGATTAATATTTCATTTTTAATTGTATATAGAATAGTCTCACTTGCTCATGGCACAGTACCAATCATTAGGCAGAATTTGAAGATACCCCTTGTCTACAGTAACATTACCAAGTTTAGCTCTAACATTACCAAGTCTAGATCTGCATTTCTATGCACCGTTAAATAGGAGTAAGTTCCACGCAGTGGGACTTGCTTTTGAGTAAACATGCATCAAATTTCAGTGCATATTTTTTTAAGCTTTA